GAGAGAGAGAGAGAGAGAGAGAGAGAGAGAGAGAGAGAGAGAGAGAGAGAGCACAACACGGGACTTTATATGTGGTGAACATCATTACCGTTCTTCGTGAATCATCTCTAGCAATATGTTATCGACCTCTCTCTGTCACACACACATCTCTCTCTCTCTCTCTCTCTCTCTCTCTCTCTCTCTCTCTCTCTCTCTCTCTCTTTTTCTCTCTCTCTCTCTCTCTCTCTCTCTCTCTGTGTGACATGCATATGATGTGACATACAGATCTGTGAGTTATATTGTTGTTATTATCGTACGTCGTCTGCCAGTTGCGTGTGTGTGTGTGTTTGTGTGTGCAACAATTATACATAGACTATTCAGCGGAAACGGAAGCGACATTCACACCTCGTTTTTTGTCGACCCGCACACACACACACACACACACACACACACACACACACACACACACACACACAATCACAAGACGTGAGAAGAAAAAGAAAACGAAGAAGAAAAATAAGAATAAGAACAAGAAGAAGTAGAAGAAGAAGATGAAGAATACCAAAAAGAAGAAGAAAAAGATTAAGAAAAATAAGAAGAAAATGTGGTGATCGAAGAAGAAGACACACCTTGTGTTCCTCACATTTGTATTATGCAAAACCGTTGCTCTGTTGCTTACGGTGAAGCTTTGTGTGTTCGACAGCTTCCTCGACTCCCCATTCGCAAGCAACGACCATGCGGTTGGCGCCAATGATTTTCCAATGCTACCATTCCACGAAACTCCGTACGGGCGAGAACGTAGATTACTACGAGTCGCAAAACTCGGTTACAGAGTCTAACGAACAGGTGTTGGAGTACAAAGACAGACACAAAATGGAGGATCGGCATTTTGTTGTTGTCGTGGAAGACGAACGAGTCGTAAGACTCACAACAGAGACTTACATTCATCATCATGCCATCGACCATGTTCGGGTGCTCATGTCCAGGCTTACTACATACTTCAATAGCCTCGTTCTGAATCATGTCGAAGGAGATAAAATGTATGATATTGTCTACCCACTTGTGTTTCGTATACTGGAAACACACTACGACACTGTTTATCGGGACGGCGTGTGGCGGTTTGTTGTAAGTGCGCCATATTTTGTTTGCAATGACGAGGATTTCTCGGCCAAGTTCATTCCTTCGTGTGGGGTTCGGCGTTGACTTCCGCAGCAATGCTTGCAGATTATCCGCACCACAACTCCGAAATGGACCGACGCGCAAGGGCTCGTGCACCCGGCGACGACGAGGGTACAGGGAGTCGCGGGCAACGAGTTTCTTGCAGAGGGGCGATGCGTGCCTGAATGCGGTTCAGATTCATTGCAGTCTCGTTGGTCGAGATTACAGAGACATACGTGGGATTGGACGACAGGATGAATCAGTTTGTCGAGACTCCAGTAACACGAGAGAGGGAGAGAGAGAGAGAGAGAGAGAGAGAGAGAGAGAGAGAGAGAGAGAGAGAGAGAGAGAGAGAGAGAGAGAGAAAGAAAGAGACGGATGAAGATGAAGGGAAAGATATTCGTATTGTTTTGCATTTATCAATTTTGCCACATGGGCACATATCTACATATGATATTTCTCTCTCTCTCTCTTTCTATATATATATATATACATATATATATATGTATATACATATATATATATATGTATATACATATATATATATATGTATATACATATATATATATATCTGTCTATCTCTTTCTCTCTCTCTCTGTATATATATATATATTTTTTTTTTTTTATATATATATATTTATATATATGTATTTATATATATATATATATATTTAGATCGGTTATCACAAAGTGTATATAAAACATATATACAATTAGTATACATGAAAAGCAACTCTCACAACCAGTTCGAACAACCAGTTATCACAACCAGTTCAAAATTACAACCAATTATCACAACCAGTTCAAAATTACAACCTGTTCTCACAACCTGTTCTCACAACCTGTTCTCACAACCTGTTCTCACAACCAGTTCTCACAACCAGTTCAAATCGAGGTCATAACATTCTAATGATTATGACGACGACAATGGACATCGATGTAGTACGTGACACTATCACTTCTGCGCAACGGACACCTCCTGCGAAAGAACGGCGCCGTCAAAGTCGAGGCGGTGAGTGGCGCCATCGGTGTCGGAGTCGGAAGATGCCTTTTCGTCATCTGAAGCACTTTCGCTTCCCGCTTCAACGAAAACATTACCACCTTTGGCCACAACACCCTCCACCGCATCAGGGAGTCCAGAATCGACTTCCTCATCATAATGCTCAATAACTGGGTCGTCGACGTCCGATTGCTGCAACATGTTACGTGCCCAATCTCCGACCCGAGGGCTGCCAAAAACTGCAGTTGCAATGTCGAAGCGCCACGACGAATCCCGTGCGGCGTATATATGCTGTCGTGCGGAACACCGTCGATGGGTTACGTTTGTCGGTTTGCGGAAGACTGTGCGCAATCACCTAATTCGTTTGTTTTTGTTTCACTCCAAAGTGGTGCAACACACGCGCGCCTCATACGACTTGGGAAAGTTCAGGTGTTTCGTTGCGTACTTGTTGATCACGGAGTGGAAGCACTCGTTGTTGAAGGTCATCCTCGCACGTGTGTAGTACGCCATCTTCGTATTCGAAGCAAACTATTCAAGACAGCTCGCAATGGCGAAATGAACACGCCCCCCCGCCTCGTACAATGGATCCCTGTCCGGACCCCCAGCCGCTTTGCACAGGTTGGACAACTCCTTATCGCAACAGGAGTGATCCCCGGCCCAATGATCGACGAGGTGTTGCACATGCGTGGCCAACACATCGCCATCGTCATCCTTTGCGTGTTCGCGCAGCCTGCAAGCGCCGTACAACCACTCCTTCGCCTCCTCCGCCGCATTGCAATGGAGTGTTTGCAACGCGTCGATCTCGACGACATCATCTGGCAACGCTTTCCCTGCTTCGTCGGGGAAGAGCACGCCCCTAACCATCTCAACGAGTTCATCCTTTTTTCTCGTGGACACCCCTGCCACGTGTACACATTTCGATTCGAGCCAAAGTTCGAGCTCCTTCTTTGTGAAACACTTCACCTCACGCACATGCTCGCAAGCCCCGACTGCAGTTGGTTCGACAGTCTTCGTGCCGTGCACAGCCTCTCACAAGCGTTTGACCAAAGTCTTCGCCTTATGCCACATACACTTTTGTGAGTCAATGTTCATTCGCCGCAATATGACGTCAACCGCGCCACAATCATCATGCACAACCTCTGCGATTATGAGGTTCTTCTCGTCCTTCAACCGATGTAGCAGTTTCTCAACACACTGTGTCTCTAGCTTCCATGAAGACTCGTTCCCCCGGAGCATGGTCTCCGTCCCCACGATCATTCCTGACTTCAAATCCTTCGCCGTCACCGTACAATGCTGAGCGTCACGAGACGAATCGTAACGCCCGTCAACCAAAACGATGACCGGATCGTTCGACCTACGCAATCGCGCGATGACCTTATCGAAGCTCTTTTGAGTAATCCGTTCGACGTGTCGCAGCCATTGTCGGGAACCTGGGCCGTCATCACGAAAAAAATTATAGAAAGTTTCTTTCCTAACCTTCCTCATCCCTAAGTCCCGCAGGAGGTTATTCAATTGAGTGTAAGCCATTCCCGCACAACTTCTTCCCCATCGCCTTGCAATCTCACCCAGGCTATTTTTTTGATCAAGTCTACATCGCACCCAGTGAGGCTTGCCTTCACGAGGTGTACTGGACCTCGTACGGGGCGATCGAGGCGAGAAACTCATCCCAGCCTCGCTATCATTAGCCGGGGAAAGAACATCGCGTACACGGTTGCTGGAAACCGGAGTGCATGATGTCGGCTACACTGCTTCGATCGGTGAACGTGTCTCTTCTGTTCGACGAACAGGATCCGACGCAAAGACACCCGCAACGGGCCTAGCGCCGGAGTTGTCATGGCCCGAAGACGGGAACGACAGCGGCAAACCAAATGGATGCGCGGCATCTAAACGACTTTGTTGAACACCATACATGCTCTGACTTTCGGACCAAGGCGTCGACAACATCGCTGCGAGAGAGCCCATGGGCGAAGAAAATGGAGGACGAGAAGAAAGCACAGTGGATTGCGCAAACGAAGACGTTGCGGGATCGCCAACGAAAGTGGGGAGAACCGGGATTGCAACAATGGTTGCACGCATGTGACTCAGGAGACGAGTTTGTGTGACATTTGTCAAATTCAGCAAAGGAGGGAACGGCAGAACGGCCATTCTGTCATCCAAACGCTGTCTGGTTGCAGGTCTCTCCAATATACAATCCGTTAAAGTGCGTCTGCGTGGATCCAAAAACCCTCTCCCTCGACCTCATAAAATATCATGGTACACCGGAGAGCCTTGCAAAGAAGAAAGAGCGCGTGAGGCGGATGGAGATGAAGAGAGAGGAGTAGGAAGCAACGGGGATTTCGGCGACGGCGGCAGAGCTGCAGGAGGTTGTTCGCGGTCCATGTTGATGCCCCTGCTCTATGGATGCGGAAGGGAAGACGCACCTGCACACGCGAAAGCACAGTATCACGGATCACGACGTCCGTCCCAACACAATATATATATATGAGTCGGTGAAACTCTGACGAAACAGTTTGTCACAGCCCCTCGTTTGTTGTCCTCTTCTCCCTCCCTGCCTACGGTTTACCGGACAGTTCTATTTGACGATATATATATATATATATATGTGGGTGAGTGATAGTCTACTTTGATTTTGGTTAAGGTGGATTATCACTTACAGTGTAATCAGTGAGGGGATTCTACAGACTGTTGAGGGTTCAGCCTCCTGATGAGTCGGTTAAACTCCGACGTAACAGTTTGTCACAGCCCCTCGTTTGTTGTCCTCTTCTCCCTCTCTGCCTACGGTTTACTGGGCAGTTCTGTTTGACGATATATATTTATATGTAGAGTTTTTATCTGGTATGGGTGAATGGTAGTTACTGTAGTGTATGGGGTTGGGTGATCACTTAAACAGTGTAATCAGTTAGGGGATTCTGCAGACTGTTGAGGGTTCAGCGAAACTCCGAAACATTCTTTGTCACAGCCCCTTGTTTGTTGTCCCCTTCTCCCTCTCTCTCTCTGCCTACTAAGGTTTACCGGGCAGCTCTGTTTGACGATATATGGACAAAAGTTTTGAAAAAAATCATTTTTATGGTCAATTTCGATGTGACCCTGAGGCAAAACTTGTTCAGTTTATTTTTCTGCATGGCAGTTCTTATTTTGCGATTTTTTTGTATTTTGTTTTTTTTTTTGGCTCTTGCCCAGCCCTACGGCCCCTACCGCCTGGGCAACGCAGCTGGAAAAGGAGATTAATAAATATGTTTGAGAGTATCCCATGTACTAGGTGAAATGAGATAGATTCCCAGAAGAAAGAACAAAAAGGATCCGTAAATGTGTTCAAACTTCAAAACATTGATAACTGAAAGATTTGGAGATCTGTGAAGGCGTATCATATCAGAATGAAGAGAGAAGGTATGGACTTAGAACCCCAAGTACACGGCTCCAGCCCTGCTGAAAAGAAAAACTCTTCGTCTAGGAAAATTTTCGGAGACCCAGCGCCGTAGATAAATTGAATCCAGCCTAGGAAATTTTTGGAAACCCAATTACATGGCTCCAGCCTTGCTGAAAAGAAAACTCGTCGCCTATGAAATTTTTGGCGGCCTCGAAAAAGGCCCGTGGCCGATAGCTGGATGTACTGATGGTTTAATGCGCTGGCAGAATGGGGAAAAAAAAGGAGGATGAGAACTGGGAATGGAAGCATGGAGGAGAAAGAGCTGAGTTCAAATACAAATTGCAATTCGTCTGAAATCAAAACCAGGAAAAGAAAAGAAAAGAAACCAGCTAATGAGCAGTGAAGGAATACTGCTCCGGAGAGAGAAGTGTTAAAGAATGGACAGCGCAGTGAAGGAATACTGCTCCGGAGAGAAGTGTTAAAGAATGGACAGCGGAGTTTGGATATCTAGGTCCAAAATTATAAGCAAGGACTGGACCAGGCGCTGTAAAACACTGCGGCAGCAGATTTCAATGTCCGTATGCATGGGATGTCTTTGAAGGTGGAGATCCTCAGGGCAATACCTCGATCCTGTCTGTTTTGCATGTTTTGTTCCCTTTCATGTAATTGTCCCGAGTGTACGAATTTTCTGAGAAGGGATTAGATGCAACAAAGGGGATGGAGTTTCCTGACTTGTACACAACTGGCTGTTCCTTTGTATGATTGTGTCTACAGGTGTCATTGGGTTGATGTCGGCCGCTTGATCTTCCTCCATGCCTGCATGAGGTCTTCTGGTCGGTTTTTGATTGCTCTGCTCCTGTCACTGCCCATGTGGTGGGTTGC